AAAATTCAGCTGTAGTTTTTCTTATTTAGCCAGACATAAGTGATTCTGTAAAGACATTGAACTAAGAATAAATTAAACATTATTTGAATAAATGACAGCTTAGAACAGGCATGTCAAACTGGGGACCTTCAGGGCCAAAGTGCTGCAGAGATTAGCGTTTACCCTCATCTAACTCTCTGAATTCAGTTCATGAAGTCTTTGCTAATTAGCTGATGAGCTGAATCAGGTGTGTTCAGTGATGCAGTGTGCTGACGTCTACTGTGTTTTGGCCCGCAAGGACTGGCGCCTGTCACGGTGCTTAGAATCCTACAGGTCCGAAATGAATTCTGAGAGTTCTTTGTAACTTTTAGGTGGCGGTACCATGACACAAGTAAGAAACAATATTGCCTAGAGAAGGTTGTGTTATTCATAAAAGCAACAGCAGTCCTACATAACATGTGCCGAATGGCAAATCACCCAGACCGTAGGGCGGACGCAGCAGAAGGCAACATAGAGGATGATGCAAGACCACAACTGGAGGGACCTAACCCAGGGCTCAGCTTAAGAAAAAAGCTCATTCAACAATTTTTACAGATTAGAAAAAATAAGAGTAGTAGGCCAAAATTATAAATCACACAGGGACATAAAATAAGTAAATACATGTTTAACTGATATGCGCTATATGGACGAAAGTACTGGGACACCTACACATTATACCTACCAGAGCTTTTATGAAATCTCATTCTAAATCCATTGGCATTAATATGGAGTTGGTCCCTTCTTTGCAGCTATAACAGCTTCTACTCTTCCGGGAGGGCTTTCTAAAAGATTTTGGAGTGAGTCTGTGGGATTTTTTGCCCTTTCATCCAAAAGAGCATTTGCGAGGTCAGACACTGATGTTGGACGGGAGGTCCTAGCTCACAATCTTCTTTCTAGCTCCTTTCAAAGGTGTTTGATGGGGTTGAGATCAGGGCTCAGTGCAGGCCAGTCAAGTTTTTCCACACCAAACTCACCCAGCCATGCCTTTATGGACCTTGCCTTGCTTTTTCAGTCATGCTGGAACAGAAAAGGGCCATCCCCAAACTGTTCCCACAAAATCGGAAGCATACCAAGATATTTTGGACAAATGAATGGTTCCAATTTTGTGGGAACAGTTTGGGGAAGGCCCTTTTCTGTTACAGCATAAGCATCAAGATTTCCCTTAACTGAAACTAAGGGGCGTAGGCCAACCCCTGAACAACAACCCCATAGCATTATCCCTCCTCCATGAAAATTTACAGTTGGCACAATGCAGTAAGGCAGGTAATGTTCTCCTGGCATTGGCCAAACCCAGACTTTCCTCTGCTCCAGAGTCCAGTGGCAGCATGCTTTACACCAACACTACCCGTTTTCCTTATTTCACTCGCTTGTAC